AACCTTTTTCTTTATTAAATTCATTTTTCAGGAAAATATTATGAATTATGCAAATTATATTCCAGCAATTCTACTTCATCTAGAATGAGCTAAATTTTCTTTCAAAATTTTTGGACTTCAGTTTTAATTTTATTGAGTAAATTAAAATCCGAATCAAGAACTGTTTTTGCTTGAAATAGTTAATTAATAGTGTAAGCTTTGAACAATATTGCAAGTCATACTATTTAACATAATGAATGATATTTCTTGTATTTGATGCAATAGACTTTTTTAGTTTCGGATACCGCTGTATCTCATTTACATCAATAAATTTTTCTAGCCATTTCTTTAAATGTGTATACGTTGCTTTAACCGAATCTATTTTTGTTTCCCGACGAGTGTCGCATAATGGTTTGAGTGATACTGAAATGCTTTTGTAAAATTTCCCATTTTTTTGTAGATGCAGAAAATAAGCATTAAAAACATTGGAATATCCTTCCAAAAATTTTTACAATATACTTTACTGGAAACGGCATTACAAATTAAAAGAATGTGATAGACAAGGCACAAAAATTGCATGAGAATTTAAAGTAATTATTCCAGATTTTGCACACCTTTATATCTCCCTCCATGTTGCTACCATTTTATCATGTGCCTGCCATTTGCAATTCATAATATATAATTCAAGCTCAATTAACCTTTTCAATAAAGTGTTTGCTAGTTCTGATGGCCGTGGTAACCTAGTGGTTATGATCTCGAACTCGTGGCCAGAGTACCGTGGGTTCGAGTCCTGTTGCCACTGAAATACCGCAGTGTAACTGGCGGCGCTGCTCCCTAAATCTGTCGAGGTTCAATATCCTCCCATTGGTAAGATTTGGTAGTTAGGAGAGGGGGCCTTCTCAGGTGACATCCTCGTCCCTAGACCGAAGTTCAAAATTGCAAGGTTCGTCGTTATTAGCCCTCGTGTTGCTTTATAGTGCGACGCTAATATAAAACTGCCCCCTCTCTCTTTTGCTAGTCCTGCTCCAGTCATATATCTTACTTCATTCACATGATTACTTAGTTTACTTGATTACTTCGTTTACATCATGATTCATTCACAATTAATCTCTTTCCTCTTCACAATTTACATATTTCATAAAAATTAAAGTTTGTTCTTCTTATGGGAAATATCAAGTGAGTGAGTATTAACGTCGCACTGTTCAGCTACAAGAGGGCTTTTGGCGACGGACCACGTAATTTTGAACCATGGTCAAGTGACGTGGACGACACCTGAGCTGGCACCCCCTCTCCTAACTACCACACCACACCAACGGGAGGACGTTTCAGCTCTCGACAGATTTAACGTGCATCGCTGCCCTACACGGCGGGTCTTTAGTGGTACTGGGCTCGAACCCGTGACAAAGCAAGCCACGGTCCGATACCTATACCACTCGGCTACCGCAGCCACTGCCCTTTGGGCGGACTGGTACCTTTTGATCCACGAACTGGTCCGTAGTTGGGAACCGGATGCTATAGTACATGGTTGCTTTTATATCATACTTCGGTAAGCACTTCATTTCTTAATGCAAAAATAATTGTTCTTGTAATCTATATGCTAAATGATACAAAACGCTATTTTACGAATTTTATATTCTGTTTATATGATCCATTAGCACAGAGAAAAATGGGAATGAGTGAAAATTCTTAAAAAATGCCACTATTATGAGCGTTTCTATTATTACACAAGCTTTCATTTAACTTGCAATGTAAAATGTTCGGGTGGAGTGAGTGTAGGGTTTAATGGCGCAAGAGCCAATTTTGGCTATGCTGCGCCAAACATTTGTTTAAATTTTTAATTTTTTTTATATTTAAAGTACAATTATGAACATATTTTTTTTTTGGAATATGAAAAAGCAATTGAGCGCCAATTGAAGTGCCAAACGTATGTTAAAATTTTAAAACATTTAATGAAATATTTAAAGAACACTGAACAAATAGTTTCAATAAGTTAAAATATCAAATCTTAAAATATCAGATCATGCAAAAAATGATTTCAAAGTATAAAATCTACCATAATTTGGTGAAGAATATCCCCACCAAGTCAGTGAGTGAGTGAGTGAAGATTAACGTCGCACTGTTCAGCTGCACGAGGGCTTTTGGCGACGGACCACGTAATTTTGAACCATGGTCAAGTGACGTGGACGACACCTGAGCTGGCACCCCCTCTCCTAACTACCACATCACACCAACGGGAGGACATTTCAGCTCTCGACAGATTTAGCGTGCATCGCTGCCCTACACGGCGGGTCTTCAGTGGTACTGGGCTCGAACTCGTGACAAAGCCAGCCACGGTTCGATGCCTATACCACTCGGCTACCGCGGCCCCCACCAAGTCAGACAAGTCTTAAAAAATAGACAAATGAAAAAAGTGAATTTTAAACAATGTTAGAGCAATCAACGATTCATGAAAAAATGTTAGTTACTACTGTTTCTGTATCGAGTGGGAGTTAATGCGCGCATATATTCGCTAGGATTGTTCACAAAACATTCCATCACGCAAATTTATCCTCAGGATTTGGCTCTAGTTCCTCCACCTGCACATCATACATAATCATATCCTCTTCATCAGTTGTTAACTCCGTAGGTGTTGACTTTCGACGTCTATGTGGAGCCATTTTGATTTTAATTTCTGCTTTCTGTACTTTTGGGCGCTTTCTTCTATTTCTTGAATTTCGTTTTGCACACAGTGGGACTTCAGGTGCATTAAAATGTTCACCATTGGATGCAGTAGGGTCAGATTCTGGTAAGGGTTGAATTTCAGTTGAAATCGCCGCCGCGCGCCGCGCCGCAGCAGATTTATTAGATCTTGTAAGAGGGCGGGTTTCAGCTGATAAAGATGAGGTAGAGGTATTCAGGCTATTGCCAGGGGCAGCAGCAGAAGAAATGGGTTCAGGTAACCGAGATTCAATTTCTGTGGTTGGTTTTATTGAAGATGCGGAGGGCAAAAGGTTTGCCTGAGTGGTAGACGACAATGTGGAAACTGAAGTAATTGAAGGGTATTTATTTGGCTGCGGAACGGATAATAAAGGTTGACGTAATTGCAAAGGCGGGCATTTAATTTGTGTAATATTTTCGTCCGTTTGGGTTGTACTGGTAGCAGTTGAGGATTTGGCAACTTGGGCGTAAGTTTGGGATAACTGTGGTGCTATTAATTTACGTGCTTCTTGATAAGAAATATTGTTATTTGTTTTTATTTCCTGTATCTGTTTTTCTATTTTCCATTTTGGGCATAATTTTGAATCTGAGGAATGGGACTGGGAACAATGAAAACATTTCGGCTCCAGAGTACAATCCGTGGAAGAATGCCCAACGGATGCACATCTAGAGCATGTTAATTGACCGCGGCAGGAAGTTTGAGAGTGTCCGAATCTCTGGCACTTAAAGCAGCGCAGAGGATTCGGTATGTAGGGACGGATCTTGCAGTTTAAATAACCAGCCTTTATTGTTGTCGGAAGTTTTGGGTTATTGAACGTTAAGATTAAATGTTTCGTAGAAATAACCTCAGCATCTTTTTTTATAGTGATTCTCCTGACCTGAATTACACCCTGTCCTGAAAATCCTTCAAGGATTTCAGCCTCAGGAGTGCATATTAGGTCAGGTTCAGAGATGACACCTCGGCTTGAGTTAAGCGATTTATGAGGACTCGCTGTCAAAGGGCAATCTAAAAAAGTTTTTGTCAACAAAAAAGATTTTGTTTGCAAAGCAGATACAGTTTCAATTAATAAATCCCCCGAACGTAGTTTTTTAACGGATTTAGGTTCTCCGCCTATTCCTTGAATAGCTTTTTGAATCGCAAAAGGAGATTTTCTTGTCCTATCATTATGAGATATCGATAGAATCAAAAAACGGCAACGTGCGTAGCAATCTGATCAATGTTAGTTGGGTAGGATGGGTTGGGGGTTTTAATAAATGCGTTTTGAGTTTTTTCCCTAATTTTACTTATTTTGATTTTTTTTTGAGAAAGGAGGAGGAGAATCCCTTTTGATTTTCAGAGGACCAGTTTGGCAGGGCTTGCCCTAGATTCAGCAACCAGTAGTGGCCTCGGGAGAGCCTCCCGTTTTGCAATGCAGGACCCCATCCAGGTACAACCTAGAACTACAAGACAGGCGGGATTATACACCAGCTGATAGAGCAGCCAGGACATGCTGGTTAGGCTGTCCCGGGCTCCTGTACTATCTGGCGGCCTGAGACGCAAAACTCAGCTTTTCTCCGGTACCCTCTACATGGCCGCTTCCTCCAAGACCCCACCTCTTCAGTCCAAAGGTCCTCAAAATTTCAAAACCCCTCTCCAAGTGCCAGTTTTCCCAGGGAGCAGTCCGTTGTGTCATCATACCAAGAGTGAAAACCCATCAGACACAACTTCATTCCACTCAGTCCTGGTCTGCCACAGGACTTCGTGGCAGAAAAATAAAGATACTAACAATAAGTTGAACACAAAAAAATCAATAATCGAACATAAAAGAAGCAACAAAAGCAAAATAATGAAAGAAATTTAAGAAAATCGAACGAAAAGAACGTAATATAAAATGTAAACCAGAAAAAAACAAAGATGGAACAAAGTGCATTGTTGAATGTAGGTCTGTGGTCTGGACGTGAAAAGAAGAAAAGGGAAATTGGAATGGCAGGAAAGAGGGCGGAAAATAGAGAAGGATCACTAGGGTTCCCCGGGTTCGTGAAGCCCGTGTTTACCAGACAGTAAACCCCTAGGGAGAAGGAAAAGATCACTAGGGCACCTCGGAAGCGTGAAACCCGTACTCACCTAAAGAAGGTGAGCCCCCTGAGGGGATGTTCGGGTGGAATCTTGCAACTCAATTTTGAAGCTGATGTCTTCAACCGATTAAGCTGGAATTTTGTACACACGTTTAGTTTGAATGACAAAGCATGTTTTGACGATTTATATTCCGATATCGACTTAGTTACTGTAACTATCTTGTTCAAGTGTTAAGGGGAGCATATTTACAATAATACAGGTGTCGACCGGGAGCGTAGCTCAGATGGTAGAGCACTCGCTTAGCATGCGAAAAGTACGGGGCTCGATATCCTGTGCCTCCAATTATTTTTTCGTGTAAAATATTTTTGAAGTTCGTTTGATTTGTAAAACGAGATATTTTACAATACTTCTACTCTGTATACGTACAATGTACACTGGTGTGCAAAAATTAAGAACGAAGTCGAAAAATTAGCATACCAGCTAAACGAAGAGGCAGAGCGGACAGAAAGACCAATCAGGAGATTAAGTAAGGTGATGTACGGTAGCACATGCGCAGATATGCAGGTAGACGTAATGGGGGAGTGTCTGAGTAGTATAAATCATGTTGTCGGTGTAAGATCAGTATTTCTGGCAAAGAGATTGCACGTCGTATAGCAGTTAAAATCCCACCGAGTTGCTGCCTCAGCGAGAAATGGCAAATAATCAATCTGTTAGACAACATCTGGATGCTTTTACCCGAGGTCGAATCATTGGGAAGTTGGAGGAAGGCCGCAGTGTGACAAGTGTGGCTGCAGAGTTCGGAATTGCTCACAGCATCGTTTCACGACTTTGGAGACAATTTCTAACTACAGGAACAGCTATCCGGGGGTTCAGTAGTGGTCGTCCACGAGGAACCACACCCGCAGATGACCGGTACATTGTCTTACAGGCCAGAAGAAACAGGCGGCAGACAGCGGGAGAAATCGCTAGACACACGACACAAGCGACTGGACGACCGATATCGCGTTTTACAGTGGCCAGAAGACTGCACGGTGGTGGTCTGTTTGCACGACGCCCTGTACGGTGTGTACCTTTAACGCCTGCCCATCGGAGAAGGCGTTCTCTGTGGTGCCGGGAACACCGGAATTGGAGAGACAATGAATGGGGACGAGTACTCTTTACAGATGAGAGCAGATTCAGTTTGAGTAGCGATTCTCATCGCATACTCATCTGGAGAGAGCGGGGAAGCCGCAATCATCCCTCGAACATCATTGAAAGGGACAGGTATGGAGGTCGCGGTGTTCTCGTTTGGGGAGGCATCATGCTTGGTAGTCGTACAGACCTTCACATCTTCGACGCAGGTTCAGTCAACGGGACCCGTTATTGTAACGAGATTCTTCTTCCATATGTGCGTCTTTTTAGAGGCGCTATGGGTCTGCAGTTCCTTTTCATGGACGACAATGCACCATGTCATCGCAAAGTAGCTGCCGAACAGCTCTTAGAGAGTGAGGATATTGAACGTATGGATCGGCCGGCACGATCTCTGGATCTCAATCCCATCGAGCATGTAACGGATTTTATAGGCAGACGCTTGGCAGCTCGTACCTTACCACCAGTAACGATTCGGGAGCTTCGATTGGCGCTGCAAGACGAATGGGCAGCAATGCCTGAACAACTCATTGACACCCTCATTCTTAGCATGGGCAGACGCTGCGAAACCTGCCTAGCAGTCAGGGGAGATCATATCCCCTACTAACGACCGGATGTTTCTTGCTGGACACCCATCACAGGGATGTTTCGGCCTTCAGTCGCATTGCGCTCCATGCTACTTTTTCAATCAAGCTTCTTTTTATCCCTCTGATTTCTCTTTTAGTAAGTGTTGCTTACATTACACATGTCCTTACGTATTGGGGATCTTACGGTATTAAATGTGTTGATTTGGAAAGCTTTTGTACAAAGTTATATTGAAAAAACCGTCTCGTCCTTAACTTTTGCACACCAGTGTATGTTATATTTTACAAGCTTTTATTTAACTAGCAATGTGAAAGGTTCGGGTGAAATCTTGCAACTCAATTTTGAAGCTGATGTCTTCAACCGATTGAGCTGAAATTTTGTATACACGTTTAGTTTGGAGGACAATGCATATTTTGACCATTTACTCATGTCCATAAATTAAGGATAATGAAGTTCAGGCAAAGAAAGAGACAGAAGCAAAACAAATTTGACTTATTTGTAAAGTCTATTTATTAAACAAAAGGTAAAGAGCAAAAAAGATGCTATATGTTTGACATAATTAATAAAAATTGCGATTTTTACTCCCTGGAGCAAATTTCAAAAAAGAAAATATTTACAAAAAACAGTATAACATGATTAGTATGATGGTTCATACGGAGTATGTCTCCCGGACGATGCAATACAAGCCTTACAACGCCTACGCATGCTGAGTATCAAATTATCAATCTGATCTTGGGGAATATTACAGCACTCAACAGGCAATGCCCTCCGAAGTTCCGGTAGACAGGTGGGAGGGGGTTGAAGGGCTGCAATTTGTCGGCCAAGCATATCCCACACATGCTCTATTGGATTCAAGTCCGGTGAGTATGCTGGCCAATCCATACGGGTGATATCCTCCGATTGAAGGCATTCGTCTACAATGTTTGCACGGTGAGGACGGGTGTTGTCATCCATAAACCGAAATTCAGCACCCATGGCGTCCCGAAACAAACGTACATGTTGTTCTAGAATGACATCCCGATAGATGTGGCCTGTCATCGTTACACTCTGAACATGCAGGTCAGTTCTGGAACCAAGAATAATTCCTCCCCAAACGAGCCATCTGCACCAGGCGTCGTTCAATGGTGTTCTCTTGGTGGTAATGGGTACCTGGCGCTCTCCATATTAAAGTCCGGCGAGAATCAGACTGCAAACTAAACCTGGACTCGTCAGAAAACATCACACAAGACCACTGTTGTGGTGTCCACAATGCATGCTCTCTACTCCAGGTTAATCGCAGGCGACAGTGAGTTGCGGTAAGTGGAACACATCTGGCAGGCCTACGAGCATATAGACCAATGTGGCCTAAGCGTCTGTACACGGTCTACCTTGAAACTGTCGTACCAGTAGCTGAAGAGAGCTAACGAGACAGGTCTGATGCTGTGCTCCGTCTGTTTCTTTTGGCAGTAACTGCCAAATATATATATACCAGTCCTCATTCGGCGTTGTAACTCGGGGGCGACCTGTGCTGTAACATCTACTTACATAGCCATCATCTTGGAATCTTTGCCAAAGCCTGGAGATGACATTCTGGGTGATTCCAAGTTCTTCGGATACTTCCAGCTGGGTACATGCACATTCCAGTTGTCCAATAATTCTACCACGTAAAAAATCATCCAAATGCTTCCTTTATGCCATAACTATGCGGTTATTGCACTGAAAGGCTTTTAAAGCGCCTGTGAACAATTTTACTTCTTTCCACCATTCCTTATATACTCCTCTCTTACACTCTCGTCATTGTGACGTACTCTCCGCGCGATCTGGTGATTTCCTGTAATTTGCATATTCTTCTTCAAGATGTGTGTGATGATTCTACAGGTGAAATTTTTATTTTAGAGTTCAATTTCTGCGTGATTCTGAATTATCCTTAATTAATGGACATGAGTGTATATTCCGATATCGACTTAGTTACTGTAACTATCTTGTTCAAGTGTGTGTGTGTGTCAAGGCGAGCATATTTACAATAACACAGGTGTCGACCGGGAGCGTAGCTCAGATGGTAGATCGCTCACATAGCATGCGAAAGGTACGGGTATCGATACCCTGCGCATTCGATTATTATTTCTTCGAGTAAAATATTTTTAAAATTCGTTTGACTTGTACAACGAGATATTTTACAATACTTCTACTCTGTATACGTACAAAATATGTTATATTTTACAAGGTTTTTTTTAACTTGCAATGTAAAATGTTCGGGGGGATCTTGCAACTCATTTTGAAGCTGATGTCTTCAACCGATTGAGCTGAAATTTTATATACACGTTTATTTCGGATGCCAATGCATGTTTTAACCATTTATATCCCGATATCGCAATTAGTTAAAAAGACAAGCTGCATGGCCCGGCGTTGCACGAGCTTTCTCAACTTTTATAAATTTTCCCTTTCCTTCACAAAATGAGCACTTCAAATACTCTTTTTCAAAATGACTTCCACCCCCTCACCCTCCTCCCCTTAGCCCAGCGTTCCTCGGGCTTTTACCGAGTGTACAACTTAAAATTCCCTGTTTCAAAATTTGTTCGCTTCTTTTGTTTGTCAGACAGGTGTATTTCCCCTCGGCGTTGCACGAACATTTTTAAATGCATAACATATTGTCATGGAAATTCCCCATCCTCTTTCGCTGTCAGAGCTCTCGAGAAAGTGAACATTCAGCGATTCTTCAGAAACTTGACACGTGCTGCATCTAGTGGCAGAAAAAGTAATGAATTACTGCACACAAAAAAATTTTTCGACATTTTATTTTTTAAATGACTAACTATAAAAGAAAAGTATTTTTAAAAATCAATTTCATATAAACGCATCGATATAGATTCATTTTAGAAAAAAAATCATGAAATATTTAAGGTATCGTTGTATTGTAAAAAAAAAATACTGTTTCCTGATGAAATAAATTTTCCTTCCAATTACAAGATTACTGGCGAAGTTATTAAAGCAGCCAATACAATTTTGAGTATTTTTTTTAAAAAATAATAAAAGCTATATATATATATATATAAGCGAAGATGTTGTTTCGAACCCGAGTACAAATGTTAATGATCTAGAGCTCTAATGTTAATGATCCGCAACCCCCTGTCCGTGGATCAAATGGTGCCGGGCCGCCTAAAGAACATTAAACGATTGCCACTTTATTTAAGGCTGTTATCGGCTAATGTTAAAGAATAGGACTCAAATGATGAATATTTTTTCATATATAAAAGTACTCAAACATTAATATTATATTCTGGCTTCACTATCCTGCAGAGAATCACTTATTTTATACTACTCATTTTATACGAGTTGACACATTTTTTCTTTTATAAAATGTGTTTGGCATTTTTTCTCCTATACTATTGATTCGAGGGTATGGTGAAATTATTTGTTTAAGTAACCCAGGTTCGGTATTCGTAAATCGCATCATGGCCAATGTTAAATAAAATAAAGTTTTCTTAATTAACGACTCATTACGTTTAAGATACAGTTAAATTTATTGATGCACAAGTAAAAATTAAGTTTTACAAAAAAAATAATAATAATGAAAGGAACTTAGCTTTGAGGAGAGAAGTGTATGGTGGCGCTGGGCAGTCCCGGTGGCGGATTTGAACTACTCTTGGTT